AATAGAAATGAGTAAATATCTTGTTCTTTCTATCTCTGGGTCCAGTTCTGCAAACTTTTGTATGTGTAAGTAATCTCTTTAAAGTAATTTGGAAATATTTGTTTTAGTGAGGTGCTTTCAGGGGATTTTACATTGCAAAAATGTATTTTTTAGGGAAATTACCTTTACTTCCACTAAAAAACATTACATTCTCTATCTTCAGAACTTTATACAGAGGGAGAGTGTTATGTTGGAGGTTTTGAGTAGTAGCCGAAGAAAAACAATAATAAATAAGTCTTTTAATAGAATGCTCTGTTATTATCAAATAATGAAGTGGAACAATTAAATTTTGATCTAGCAGGAAATGGAATTTTGCATGTGGCTGAGCGTGTTATTAAATTTAAGTATTGCAGAGTTGAATTTTTGTTATCCTTCAGCTGAATCTCATTTTAATAGGCTTATTTCTTGAAATACTTACTATGACAAAATGATACTTTTCTGGACTATATTACTAGTTTATTGAACTTTGAAAGTATTTTGATTGAAGTTATTTTCTCTTTGGTGCATTTTAATCTTCTGTATGGACTATGCAGTCAGTGATACGGTAGTTTGTGCTCTCAGGATCACCTGGTAAAAAGGAGCAATCTTAATAATGGAAGAATAGGTTTAATTTGTTTCCTGCAATGGAGTTCATTTCTTCTGTGGACACTGTTAACATGTCTATCTATAGGAAAGAGAAAGTTGTCTCTGAAAAGAGAAGAGTTTGAGATCCATAAGATGAAAACCAAATGTCAGAGATCTAAAAGAGACATGATATCTGCAAGAAGCAACCCTGGAACACTCTGCAATATATGACATAGTATTATTGATATAGAAATATACATGGCATTACATGAATTGGAAAGTTTTCTTTATCAGCTCTACCAATATATTTTGTATTCCTTCAGAAACTGAGTACCAACATTTCTAGTAAATGAATCTCTTGAAAGTTTGATGGTCAAGCACTGGTGTCTCCTGTTCTAAAAAATTCTACCATAAATGCAAATTTCTCATCTCTCCTATCAGCATGTATGTGTCAAATACGCAGAGTAAGTTAGAATATTTATTTGAGACCCCTTTCTAGAATGTTGGCAGAATGTCACAATATAAAGATCTCAGTAAAATCTTTCCTGATGTATTTTGAACCTAGCTGACTTGATGCAACATACAAAAGGGAAAGTCTGCTGACTACACAAAGAAAGAAGCTAGGAGAAAGAAAGTAAACTTATTACCATGCAAAGCAATTTTGAAGTATGTGGTATATATTCTGACAGAAGTGACTTTATTAGGTGGATCACTAGTTATCACCTGTATATGAATTTGTAAATATTATAACAGCACAGTACAGGAGATTATAGATTCAGCTAAATGATAGTTTAATGGCTTTAGGTTTTAACACTAAGGTGTACTCTGGTTTTAAATGTGATATGTGCATAAACAGATTGAATATTGCTTTAACTTAATCCTGAAAAGGAAGATGTTTTAATTCATTGTTGTTCTCTGAAACTTTTAGGATAAGCATTCCTTTAATTCATTCTGAAATGAGTTGCATTTCTTCATTGTTTAATAGAATGATCTGTAGAATTGTAACTGATAACAGAAAATGGGATTATTTCATCATCCACTAGCAAAATTATTTCTATATTTTCTCAATGGAGGCAAACAGTAAACCTACTTGATTGTGCTATGCAAAGTTCAGGAAAATAGAGAATTTGTGAATGGAGGTGGGAGTTGCTTTTTTTAGTTACCAATGTTTAGTTACTATATTTTAAAGTAATACTCATTATTATGTCTGACTCATTAGAACTTCATCTTAGATGCTGAGATTGTTCTTAGAATCTTCCTCTATTTAGCATAGGATTAATGATAAAGAAGAAAAAAATCTAATGAAAATTACTAAGTACAAATGATAATTACAAATTAATTTACTTCTAATAAAAATGTGAAAAGTTGTCCTTAAAAAGCTTAATAAAAGAGAATGTTTATATATTTTTGTGCTAAAAAGTGTAGCCCCCTTCAAATGTATAATATTGTAAATCATCTGCTCACTAAGCATAAACAATTGTTTATGCCATCTGTCTGTTGCTAACCAATTGCACTAATAAATTGAAAAAGCGAATACTCATGAAGCGATTTGTGGGCAGGTGATGGGAGGAGACTGAAACAGATGATCACAAACTATCTTAATAATACAATCAAAGCTTTTGTAGTTTAAATAAATAAATAGTGATATTTCCTGGCAACGGTAGGAAATTGTTACAAATTTAGTCAGTGGTTGTCTGTACATAATTTAACCTGATCTGGTTATTATGGGATACAGAGCCCCCAAAAGGGGAAGAAATATTAAAAATTTAAATAAATAAGTAAAAAAAACAGTTAAAAAAGAATAAACTTTGAAAATTAAATAATTTAAAAGGCACTGAAAGAGATCTACCAGTCAGAGAAGTTCAGGAGATAACTGTTAAAGTATGCCTATATCCACTTATGGTTCAAATATGTGGTAGGTCTTTTATAGACTAACTTGCAATGTTTCCAAATACCCTAAAGGAAAATGTTATTGCAGTTAGATACACAAATTTTTATCTTTAAATCTAATTCTGACTCTGTAGCCAGTAACCAATCTGAAAGGTTGAAAAGAATCATTTATCACTATTGCAGATCAAAAATGTCTTCTGCTAGGATTTAGACCCAGATGCCTTCTCTTAGGTCCCATTTCTGCTGTTAGTAGGGAGCTTTTGCTGCCTGACTGGACTCTACTGGGTGAAAAAATGGCTCAGATCTATCTTCTTAGTTTTTTATACAGTGGCTTGTATTTTGACACGGTGGTTGTTTTCATCTCTGTTTAAGTACGCTTAAGGGCATCCTCCCAGCCTGGGACTCCAGACTGAGATCCTGTCACAGGAATGCTCCCAAGGCACAATTCTGTCCCGTGACCTGGCTGTGGTCTTAAGCATATCATGATAATGACACACCAACAAGGCTGCTGTAACATTTGAACTCGGACAATGTGAGAATAGCTTATGAAATTTTAGTGCCATTCAGTATGAATCCAGTGTCTGGTTCCCATTTGATATCAGACCTGAAGCATACTTTGAACCTAATCTCTGTTCCTGCCTGATCCTGTAAACTATCTCTGGTGTGCAAAGATAATCAGTTATACAGTTAACCCTCTGACTCACTAAAATTACTTCAACGTAAAATGAATTTTTAAACCTCCTGTACTGTCATAATCAAATGTGTAGTTTATAGGGGACTGTAGATTCAGTATTCATGCTTGGACTTTAAAGAAAGTATTTTATTAACATAATTTACAGTTTCAGCTTCATTGAAAACACTTGTCAAATAAAAAGTCTTTTCCTTTAATTATTCTTCTGACACACGAATGAATTAGCAAGTTAAGTTTCAAAATTTCAATAATCTATATTTTCACGTGTAATCCCTGACTTCTGAAATTTGAATTCCTGATAATATTCTCCATGATTCCATTTAACTTTTCAATTCTATTTATTTCTTATATGCTCTGAGCCAGACTGACCTTTTGATTTGTCAGGTTATATTACAGGTGATGTCTGTGTGATAAAATGTTAGAAGTTAAATTGGTACTATGATTGGTACTAGACATGCTACCCACGAAAAAAAAATCTAAAGTGCTTTGACAAAATCCTATGATTACTTGCCTATACCACTTTGAGACATTATAAAATTTTAGAAATATTCTTGTCTCAGATACTTACTGGAAATATACAATCAGTATGTAAGAAAAGTTTTTTTTCTTGCATAAATAAAATCTTGAATGTCAGACCATGCAAATAATGTATAAATAAGAGTAAATTCATATGTAAAAGTTAACAGGAGTGCAGAAAGAACTTAATGCAAAGATTTCCACCAACAAGTGACAAGGCATTTGGGGTAGGATAAAGCACAGAATTAAAAACCCAAAGAGGAATTGTGAGGGGAACATTTGAAGGTGCAGAAAATAGGTCTCATAATGAAAGTGCCTTTCCTACAATCCACTACATGTGAAATGTTCAGGATCTCTATAGATAATTAATTATATCCATTTGGAAGCTGCTTAGTAGAGTGTGCAATAATTAACTTTCTCATTAATGCAAAAAGTAATTGTTATATAAATAATAATTTCAATTTACACTGGAAGTGTCAAAGCCAGAGTGTAAGACGTGCAGTTACGCAGCTATAGGTTCCAAAATGGTTTTCTACAGTACTGCAAAAACAATTAGTTTTGACTGAGATTTGAGCAATACCTTGTCCTCTTTCAGTGAAACAAAAGTAACAACAGCATTTAAAAACTTCTATTCTAGCTCTTTAGATCATACATTTTTATTAACAGGGACTTTCCTCTTGCACTGGCAATTTGTAATGGTATGTATATTCTAGTCACCTGTGAACCTAGTTATGGAAAGTACTTTCATTTAAGCATGTGCTTATTGTTACTAATTTCATTGAGTTGCTTATCCATTTAAGATATGTTTTTCCATGTTCAGGATGCATGTGTACAGAATTTTTCAAGGCAATAAGATCAGCTAAGGAAATTCAGAATTCAAAGTAATGTGTAGAATGTGTGAACTCAATTAAAATGTAATACAAAATGAAAATACTTCCTGCAACTTGCACAGAAGATGGCTACTTTTCATTAATTTTTCTGTTCCAGTCTATCAGACTAAATGTTCCCCAGTCCAGATCTTCTTTCTTTCACTTCTACATTAAAAAATTGCACAAATGTTTGTCAGTCTCC